TATTATTTAAAAACGTGTAATACATCAGTAATATTTCTGAAATATTTCGTTGTAATACGTAATATTTCCACTATATTGCAATATTACTGCAATATTTCTGCAATATTATGTGCTGTGTGGGTTTCTATTGTGTAATATCATATCTTTTTTTTATTATATAAGATAAACTATTTCGGAACATTTTTTAAATTATAAAAATAGTTAACTATGTACGACTTATTGCATTACTACTGTGATATTCTCGATAACTTGTACAGCAAACTTGTATAGAAGCTTATTGTCCCTCATTTCGCGATGCAATTTGCAAGTGTGTGTGTGTGTGTGTGTGTGTGTGTGTGTGTGTGTGTGTGTGTGTGTGTGTGTGTGTGTGTGTGTGTGTGAGTGAGATAGTTTATACACAATACACGAAGTTACTTTCTCTATTTTATTTGTTATAATTCATAAATTTATTTCCATTTTGTTTTCTATAATAAGATCCAAAAAGTGTCGTATTGTCTCTCTTTTGTGTAAAATTACTCTTGTAAATATATAAAGGAAGATTAAACATATGTTGAGACATATGTTATTTTGTAACATTTTAACATACATTTTAAGTATGTAAGATTTATCTTTCCTTTTTTTGCAATTTTTTAATTATACATTATTTATTATTAAAATATTTTAATATAAATATAATTTTAAATATGGCCTAGTTTACACCGACGACCGTTTGATACGCGTACCAAGTACTGTATCCGTTTTAAATTTGTATCCGGTTTACACCGGGATAACCCGAGATTTGATACGGATACAGTACTTGGTACGCGTATCAAACGGTCCGGTGTAAACTAGGCCTATGTTAGAATAGAAATTTTACTATTTTTTTATTTTTTTTAACGGCAACGGTTTCCTTAAAAATGTTGCCAGGTTTTTGGTAACTTATTGAATTAAGAAACTGTTTCCGTCATGTTGCCCTGTAATTTCCAACAACCTATCATATTCCCAGTAAGCAAGAAACATTAAATTAACGTTTAAAAATATTGACTTTATGTGTATTTTTTAAACGTTTTTTAATAATTATACACATATTTAAAAAATATTATTTCGTAATATGATTTTTCTGAATGTTGTTAAAATATTTTAAAAACGTTACAGAAAATATTTTTCAAATGTTATTCTGACATTTATTTGAGATTAATGCAACAGTTCAAAATTCCTTGTAATTTGGACTTGGAAATAACGTTGGTAGTATATTAATTTTCTGTTGTTAGAATGTTATTGTTTTATATTGTGCCCAACGCTCATCGCGACAGCCATGATGCGTACATTTACGTACGATGCGTGAGTGCGTATACACACGTGTGGATCGAGCAGTGCGGAGTGCTCTTTATTTACAGTATATTTATATATAAGTAATTATTATATTCGAAAAGTTGTATATTAATAATAAGAACTCAATTAACCATATGTGCTATGAATAGTAGCTGATATGATGATCTATATAACCTATAATTCAGGTTAACTACAAATAACGTTCTTTGGGTATCGGTAGAAACTATATAGTGGAATTATTTGCTATTTTCTTGCAATTTACTGCCGATTATTTTCAGCTGTTTGAGTGCGTCGAGATCATGAGCAAACGCACGCTTGTTGCGACAGCCAATTGGAAGCAGTAATAGTTCTGGAGACTGTAGTCGCATTATCTTATATATACGTATGATGTGTGAGTGTGTCATATATACGTACGTTTGTGCTTGTGCGCTTGTGCGCTGTCGAGCGCTTTTAATTGTATACAACATTTTTATATGGGTAAGTAATTATTATATTCTAAATCTTGCATATTAATGATAAGAACCGTGCAATTATCTAATGTGCTGTAAATAGGTAGCTGGTGATTCAAGATCTATTTTTCGACCTATATAAGAGAGAAATTTGCAGAAGAAAAAAAATATACCAAAGTATTAATAAGGATCGAACATATTCTTGATGTACTCGGGCCGCGAGGCTGAGCAATATTCTAAGGAAAGTATTGTACAAGATACAAAGATTGGACAATATCTCATCCCTTTATCTTCCATTGACAATTTGAAGATATGCTAAAAACTGATCAAGAAGCTTTCATGCAAGTTGTAAGTAAAGCTGCTTATCACAATTATAATTAATTCTATAAACATTTACAAATAACATTCCCGGTTAGTATAAGGCAATTTTTGGCGATCGTTTGGTATATGTACCAAAGTGTACCAAACTGCACCAGACCGTTTTGGCGACACTGGTACTTTGTGGTTAAGGCGTGGTCATTCATTTTGGTATCTCTCTGGTTGATACCACGCTATACCCTGCTCTGAAGCAGGGTAGTTTTTCCAAGTCTGTGGTACGTAGCAAATACGCGCCAATTTATAAAATAAATAGTTGTAAGCAACGTGTGTGTTATGTCAACAGCTACTGCAATTAGAGGTTAAATAAGGATCAGTATAAGTGTATGTAGTGTATTTAAAGATTGTATTACTCAACACTTGTTATTTATCAAGATTTATTAAAATAATAAGCAATATATTTATTAAAATAAAAAATATATTATCTTGCAGATCATGGATGGTGAAAGAGATTTTCAGTTATGTACGAACGACCATGGCCAACCGATCGTGGATGATCAGGGAAGAAATATATATTACTGCAAAATAAGTGAGTAAAATGTTGTACATAATTATACTTTCATTATTTTAAAGATAAGATCTGTTTAAATTGACGCGCAGTAAGCAAAATGTTAGCTAGCAAATTTGCAACAGTCAGGATCCCACAATAAAGCCATAGAAAAGCTCATGTTCTGTCGACAGAGCATGCTGATATGATTTGACGACAGATTGATAGCAGAAACAGACCAAGTCCTGCTGTACGCAGACCTGCTCGATTTCTGCCACCAGTCTGCCATCAGATCTACAGACATTGTTCGGATTTCTCAGATTTCTGCTGTCAATCTGCTAGCATAGCATGTCAGCAGACTGTGAGATTTCTGATGGCAGTTTGGCAACATCGTCAGATAGAACAGATTCTATGTAAGATTTGTTGCCTATTTGCCATCAAAAATTCATTGCAAATTGCTCAGAATCTGCTTGCATAGGTTTTGCTATCTGGGAAGATGTCGCACAATTAAATATAATATTTATTACAGCAGGTGATGTAGCAGTCTTTGATAATGAACCACACACATTGGATGAAGCTTCTATAAATGAAAATACAAGTAACTATTTCACGATTATATTTGATTAATAATCTCATATATATCATTATTTTACTAATAAAACTGTAAAAACATTGCAACATTAACTTTATGAAACTTTTTCCTATTACCTTTTTGTCTTACACTTATAGATGAAATAGAAAAAGATGTAACGCAATCCGTTGAACCACAGAGTGAAGGACAAATGAGCGCAACAAATGAAGATAGTAAGTATAATATATATCTGACGTAAAATTTACTTTTTGTATCGCAAAGTTTATTACAAATATGTGTGAACAATATCAAATATTTTAACGCTTATAGGATTTACTCATGAAATGACTGTAAAACTACTGGAGATTGTACAATCCAAATTACATTTTCTTAATGACAAAATGCATCCCAAAAAAAAGATCTGGGCTGATATAACAACAGAAATGCAAAAAACTGGTTACTTACTTACTTATGGAAAAAAAGCTGCTGATAAATGTCATCAACGCTGGCGGAATTTAGAGAAAATGTATCATGGACATTGTCGTTACATGAAATCTACTGGTACGGGAAAGAAAAAGCCACCAAAGTATTTTGATGAGATGCACGAACTTATTGGGGAAAAACACAGTAGTCAACCAGTCAATTTGTTGGATTCATTAGATGACGTATCTACAGCAAGTGCTTCTGACACTTGCAGCATTGAAACAAAAAGTAGTGAAGCCATTAATAACAATGAAACTGATAACTTTCCTGATAACGTAGATAATGAGTCAAATAATATAAAAGAAAACATAGATTCTAATGTAAGTAGACCGAGTATTTTTAAAAACGTTAAGAAATCAGTAAGACCAAAGGTAGATTCTGTAAGCACAGTTTTAAAACAATTACATGAACAAGATGTAGAAATTGAAAGCAAGCGCTTTAAAAAATTTGAAACATTGTTAGAAGAGCAAAACAAGTTGAGAAAGCAAACATTAGAACAGCGTGGTGAATTCTTAAGTGTGTTAAAAACTCTTATTAAATCAGAAGCTCCTAAAAATAAATCAGAAGCTCTTAAAAATAAATCGGAAGCTCCTAAAAAAAATAAGAAAAGAAAATATTCCTCTGAGTCCTCTGACTCACAATCAGATTAATTATTATGTATAAGGGAATACTTATCGCAGTACAAATTACTTATTATTTTGGTTAATTATTGCGAAATAAGATTTTATTTTTTTTGGTTATGTGGAATATAATTTACGTAAATTACAAGTTATACGTTTGAAATAAGGCTGATTAATACATAAGTATTAAATGTTTAATATATTTTTAAAGTTCCTACTGAGTGTACTATAAAACATTATTTACGTTCGAATAAAGGAAAATAAAGATATTACGAGAAAATAGAAAGTACATTTATATATTTAATTATGTTTGATACCCTTACATGTATTTGTCTATCTATGTTTATGTCTATCTATTTGACAATTGCATCATTATGGTATTTCTTTTGTCAATTGCAATATTCCTGTCGTCAGGTCTTCTAAGAACTTACATTCTATCGATTCTTTCAACATTAACATCTAGTAATGATTCAGCAACGTCATTATTTATAAGGCAAAAATTGTGTAGAGCACAACATGCCATCACAATGTTTGAAGCTTTTTCTATTTTGTATGTTTGTATATATTTAAGCCTTCGCCATCGTCCTTTTAATAATCCAAAACAATTTTCAATTTTTACTCTTGTTTTGCTGTGTATTTTATTATATATTATTTGCATACGTGTCATATTTCCATAATCTTTAAAAGGAGGTAGAAGCCACTCTTTAATGGGGTATATTTTATCACCTAATAGATGTTGATTTGGCAAAAAATATTGGGAATATCCATTTTGTTCAATTTTGACATATAAGCTTGAATTACTTAATACTCGGCAATCATTAGCTGATCCAGGATGTCCTACATATACATTCGTAAGTAGACAATCTGCTGTACATATTCCTTGCAAAATTATGGAATGTGTCATATATCTATTTTGATAACATTTTTGCTGCATACTTGGTGCCATAACATTTAGATGGCAACCATCAATTGCTCCAATTACACCTTAAACAGATTATAATTCAATCCTATCATTTTATTAATTGAACAACACTTAAAACAATAACTTGTCTTAAGTGTAACATTTAGTCATACCTGGAAAACCTGCTAAATTTTTAAATTATGCTTCTATACTAACTCTTTCATTTATTGTAGGCCACTGTATTAAAGTAGGTACCAATTTTAAGACGCAGTTTATCCATGTAGTAATGCAATTAGAAATAGTTGATGTTGCTACATCAAATTTATCTCCAATTTGGGCCATGGATAATTGATGTGCCAAATAGTATAAAGCTATTTGTTGTACTTTATGGGGCTGTACTGGTTCATATTCTCCAGTATATACCTAGAATTATGTTTAAATTATATTAAAAATGTTGAATATTTATTACAGAATTTTAATTAATATAAAAGACAAATACAGTAATTATTGTAAATTTTCAAGGCAACAAAATACTGCATTTAAAACAAATTTTGTGTTGTTAAAATATATTTCTAATTATACAATCCGTTTAAAATATAATTAGCATAACTAATATTCAGACAGCACAAATTTCTAAGAAATATCTTTAGAATGTTAGGGTGTCCAAAAGACTTCTTTAAGACATCCCTTGGAGAGGAACCCCATCTGTGCTGTTTGGATACTTGCTATTTATATAGATTTTGATGTCATAACATTTATATGTTATTACATCAAACATTCATCAAAAATGTTATCAAAATAGTTATAT